TGTAAATATTTGTTATTATAATTTTAATTATAAAGTGAACTTTAAACTGTTTGTTAAGATTTGAGAATATCGTATGAAATAATCAATTTGAACCGATGTACTTATTGGTAGACACAACTTACTGCTTAAGCTAATCTAGAATTAAAGTGAACTGTAAACTGTTAAGTTATCAATTAAAATACATTGAATATAATACTTGAAAATCATCATTTTTGTATCAATTTAATTTTTTGTTATATAAATAATAATAGTTTTAAAGTGAACTTTAAATTCTCTGTTAAGATATGAACAAAGTGATTAAATTGAATGTAATATTACTAATTTTAAAGTGAACTTTTACATTAAATTGTCCGTTAAAATATGAGTAAATCGTTTAAAGCAAATTAATACTAGATTTAAAGTGAATTGTAAACTGTGCATTAAGATATGAGTAAATTAATTAAAATAAATTGAAGGAAATATTAGAATATAACTAGTTTTAAAATTAACTTTAAGATATGAGTAAATCGATTGAAATAAATTGGATGTAATATTCAATTTGTGTCGATGTAATTATTTGTTGATGCGGTTATTTTGCGTAATCAAATTCTAGTATTAAAGTGAACTGTAAACTGTTCGTTAAGATACGAGTGAATCGATGGAAGCAAATTGCATGTAATATTGGAAACTGAACGGAGATAAAATGAATTAGAATAATCGCAGAGCGGTTGGTATTAATCTTCAGTTCCGGCTGAAGTCACGCGCTAAAATTAAACTTACGCCAATAGAAGAAGACTTAAGTCCTTCACAATATGCGTAAGAAAACGCAATTACGTTAAATAGTTGTTAAATTGAATGCGAGGCGTGTAATAATAATCTTAGGTTGATGATGGATGATGATCTCGCTGCCCTTCGGAACGTTATTCATTTCGGTTAGGTTAAATTGAATGCAAAGTGTATGTAATTTGTGTACGAGGCTAGGATGCACGAGGTACATAGTTTTAGTGGAATTCGGTATGTCTGTGTATAAGTGTGAGTGCATGTGTGCGTGAGTTTCGATCAAACGTTCCGATTTTAAAAGCCTGGGCCTGTGGATGAAAGCAATCTGGTCGAGTTGCGATGATCGATTCGAACGTACATAATAATAGACGGTGGAGTTTCGAGGGAGAAAGCCCTCATCTCTCTGATATTATTAAAATCGGGCAGCCATTTCGAAAACGGAAAAAAAAAACTGTAAGAAGGAGAAAAAAATTGATAGGACGATGGAAGAGAAGCCGAAGTAATAATAATGATGATGATGTGTGCAGTCCGTCGGTCCGCTTCACTGCGGACGAGCGCGGCTTCTTATGATGATACACAAATACTATACACATTTGGTACGTTCAACTTTTCCGCGGAAAACACACAATACGAAAAAAAAAAATATTGCATCGCGCGGAACACACAGCTACAAAGGGACTCCCATAGATCTTGCAGACATTCTGAACACTTCCTCTTTAAGACTCTCCATGATTTACGCGCGCGCTCGCGCAACTTGAGTCTTTTTTTTCTTCATGTTTTGGGTAGACACAACTGTGGACACTTTGAAAACCGCACTAATAATTTGCACGTTTGTATGATTATACATTATTTTTTTTTGATCTGCAGATGCGATCAACGCCAACATCAAAGACGGACTAACGACTGTTTTACGGGTCGGGCGAAAAAAGGCGATTCGGAAAAACTTCCCCCTCGGCCCTACAGGCGTTTTCGGCCTTCTCTCAGGGTCGCCATTAAAAATAAACAGTACAAGAGCGAGAGAGAGGTACGGCTATGATGCAACGAGGATGAAGAATCGGGCATAATAGAGGAGAGCAGTTTTTACGACGAGGGACCTATTATTATATCACGACCTAGTCCAAGGCGGACCAGACTAAAGGAAGACAATATCAAATGCACATCGGTTATCGCGGGAATTTGAATAACAATCTCCGTCGGGAATGAAAAAAAAAATAGTTATTATTTTTGGTCATCAAGAAAGAAAAAATTTAATATTTCGATACATATAAATATGTTTTATTCTCGGTTTCGCTCAATGTCAGGTATATATAAAAATCGACAGGTGAAATTTATTAGATGGGCAGTAAACCACCGGTCTTTAATGTCTTCATTTCGTCGCCGCTTTTATATATATATACTTTTTTTATAGTTGCGTCTTCTTCTTTCGGTACTACTACTTCTTTGGTTTTAACGACTCCACTCTCCGATTTCTGGGTTCTTCAGGTTTCTTCCTCGTCTCGCTTTTGTATCTTGTTTTTTATTTTATTGTTTTTGTTACGGGTTTTAGTGAAGAAATGAAGAGATGAGATAATTGCAATGAATCATTCGGCGGTGGAGGCAGGCACCTTCCGCGCGCCACTTTATATATTATCAATGAGTTTTTCCGAGCGATTTGCATTTAATTGATTAAATGGCACATAAAATTTACATACACACACATAAAGCCGTGTAAATATGCGCACTCCTATAAAATACAAAACTGGTAGTTGCCGTTTTGTGTTGTGCGAGCTGCGAGGATGATGATCATCATCCATGTTACCAGTTGTACGAAGTGCGTTTATCCCGGCACTCGGACGGGTATTGTTATTACCTCCAAATTGATATTGCGCAATAATAATCCTCTACAACCGCCGCCGCCTCCGCTCCCCTAAAACCGCGTATTCTACTCTATAGAGGAGGAGTAATGGACCGACGTTAGTACCTGCCGTTTTTTTTTATACGGCATCAAACAAATCATCCGTATTTTTCGAATCGCCCGCCAAAAAGGGTCGTTGTCAGGGCAACGCGCGCCAAACAAAACATCGCGTCTCCGTAGTTCGCTGTTACCTCAAAAAGGGCGCTCGTTGCCACGGCAACCCCCATCCACAGCGAAAAATAAACAAAGCCGCCTCCAAATACCCTTATGCAAATTAACCCATTCTAAAGACAGCAAATATTTACTTTCATCATGATTTTAAATGAATTTGAAAACAAATATTATTAATAATAATTACATTGACTTTATCAATGTTAACTATACAATTATTATAACATAAAACATGTTTTCTATGAATAAATGTATTTATATTCCATTACTTGAATTTAAACTTGATTTCCAATTAGAATTTAAAACAAATTTCAAAACATAATAAAGATCAACAAATATTCTATTTCAAACATTTTTTTTACATTTCACAACTGAAAATATAATAAATCTAAACAAATTATTCAAAGATTTATGATTAATAATTTATTTTTACTATGAGAAAATTAAAAACAAAATTGTATTTAAAAATTAATGATTCCAATTGGAATCATTGGGCTGGAAATTTTCAAAAATCATTTCTTTAATTTACTGAAATTAACTTTAATAAAGAGTTTTTGTTTCTTTCATATGCAAACTTTTCTTAACATATAATTTATGGTCGTTTTGATGCATGGACTTTGCGATATTTAAATGCGCTGACATCTTTAATTAATTTAAAATGCATTTATACAATTCTATTGCTACAAGTTTTTATTTCGTTTTAGTCTGGTTTATAAAAGAAAAAATATATCCTTTATAACAAAAATTTACAACCATTTGAAAACCATATATAATAAAGACAAATTCAAATACCATTTTTTTTGTAGTTATGTAATATTAACGTCAACTTCATAATTAATTATTAAATAAAGAAATATTATTTAATATATTATTAAGATTTAAAGAATTTTAAATAGTTAATAAATATTTATTTGAATATATTTATAAAAACAATAATATTTTTGTAACTTAATTGTATTCATTTTACGTACATTTGAGTCAAGTTTTTGATGAATAAAACTTTTAAAAAATTACATTACGATTTTCATATAAATTACTTACATTATTGTCGTAATTTTACAATATGACATTTAACCTTTTGATTATATTCCGATTATAATAATCGTGCAAATTCAAGTAAAACAATGTAATTCACTTCTTATGAATTTTATGAGTTCAATTTGTTATTTTATTACTATATTTAATATTAATAATATAAGTAAAGGATTTAAACAAGTTTTAGTTGATTATCACTTTTTTAACTAAAAATTGTACTTAGAGGTGAATGTTAGATTATGACTTATTATGATGAATGTAACGTTTTTGGTAATTATGATTGTATTAAGTTTTCTATGAAGATATAAACTTTGCATAAAGAAGTCTTTGATGATATCAGTACAGAATTTGAGTGTAGGAAGTTTCGGCGATGATAAGAAGAAGATAAGTTTTCTTCGGCGAGTGTTTCAATTAGTCTGCGAACGGATAGTTCGCGGAGTGGAAACTTCACGGGGGGCAGAGAGCGAGACAAAAGGGCGCAACCCGGAGAGGCATTATCTTTATTATCGGAGCGCCCGGGCCCTTCCTCTCTCCCTTTCTCTCTCTCATCCTGCATGTTACAAAACATAATAGAGGAAGAGAGATGGAGAAAGCGCAGCAACCCCGGAGAGTTATGGTGTTTACAAATGAATTTTGTGGGTCAACTTGGACAAAAAAAAACAGAAAGGCTCATCATCATCGTGGACGTGGACCACAACAGCGAGGAAAGCCCGATGTTTTCGGGGTGGACTATATTTTGGGCAGTACACGTAGGGGGTGTAACTTGCCACCGGGTGATACGTCATCGCTCATCCGGATGCAATCCGGGAACTCCGGTGTTGTCGCAGCCCGGTTTACTGCAGTTACACAATTAAAACGAATACATTCCGAGGGTAGAAACACGGCCGACGTGAATAAATCTCAGGAGCAATTTAGCTTTTTGGTTGATGAAAAAGAAAAAATGATGATGAACCAAAAAAAAAAAGAAGTAGTAATAATGATTCGAGGGAACGCAGATTGGTTTCGAAAACCGCAGGATACTTTTCTGCTGGCAATTAGGGTTCGCTGCGGGTCTAGACGGGGGGAGAACGAAAACAGCTGATCGACCCTCGTGGTTCGTCCAATTTAACACGCACTTGACTCGCGATTGTTATGTTTATTATTATTTAACTTTTTTTTTATATTTTGACTGACCTGCTATTGCCATCCATGGGTAGAATGTGTGGTTGGACTGCTGATGGAGCTGTGTTCCGACCGGTTGAGTGGACGACGAGTTCAGGGAGCACGGGTTGTTCCATGAGCTGAGCGCGTTCGATGTGCGTCCGCCACCTGCGGCTCCCGGACTTGAAGCTGGATCACCTCCGACGAGTCCCACGGAGGAGCCGTATCCGACTCTGGAGTCTGGGGTGCACGCGGACGGTCGGACGGGGCCGGTTAGACTGTTGGATAAACTGGCGCCTCCACCGGAACTTGCACTCTGCCATACATCCTTGACTGCCGCCGCCGCCACCACCGAGGCGTACCCGTTCTGGTCGGAATTTCCCTTGGAGCAGTCTGGCTTCGCGTTCGTCGTGCTGTAGTTCACTGAGTTCTGTTGGCTCTCCGTGGATGAGGAGTATAGCTTGCAGGCCGCCGCCACCGAAGCGTCGTACGGCGAGTCCTGCGGCGGCCTGGCCTGGTGCAACGAGTGATGATGATGGTGCTGCGATGAGGCGTACGGTGACATTCCCAGACTGAGCGGGAAAGGCCTGTACGCCGCGGCGGCACTCTGATCATGGTGGTGAGCACCAGCTACGGAGCTGGCGCCCTGGTGATGGTGGCTACCATAGAACCCACCTTGCTCAAAATACGAGTTCATTATGGCGTTAATTTTGGCGGCCTTTTGATCAACACCCTCGGCGAAAACTAAACCCCAAAGATCTAGATCTAGAAGACGTTCCCAGAACTTCTTCCTCTCTCAATCTCTTCCTTTCGCTTCTTTCTTCCAAATCACAATCACAACAAAAGTCACCTAGTTAGGATTAAGTACTTTTTTTTTCCAATCACTGTTTCTCTTCAATTTATTTTCTTCAAACAACTAAAAATCCCAAAGGTCCTCTCCTTTACGATTATAAGTCCACTCGATGTAGTTCTTCGCACATGATTCCAATTAACAAGGACGACGACGTCTCCGATTCAAATTCGAAAATGATAGTGAAGTTTTTATTTTTTTTTATTTGATGGCTACTTGGCGTTTAATGGTATTGGGCGGGAGGAGATGGAACAGTTTTAATGGTACGATTATTGTTACGATAATTGGCGGGCCATAAAAACCGTGCTGTGTATATACTATGATAGTAGTAGTGGCGTGTGTATTGGAGGTATGAAGAGGAGTTGTTTTGGATGTGTGTAAATGGTTGCGGGTCGCGAGCAGCACACGGCGCGGAAGCTCGGTCCGGAATGCACGCACTCAGTTCGTCAGATCGCGGATCGGGACCCACTGGAGCTCGCACCGGAGTCTGCTCCGGCCCACACATCCCGGCCCATTCGCCCCGTCTCCTTTTTCCCCCTTCCGCGCCCCGCCCGCCCCTCCGGCCGACGCTGACCCCGCCGTACCCCACCCCGACGCAATCCTCATAAGCCCCACCACCGCTCCACTCCACGCGCGCTTCAGAAAAAAAAAATAGAAAAGAAAGGGGAACCCGAGAGCACACGCGGCCCACAATGCCTTCCTTACCTTTACCTACCACCTAGTCATCATTAACACCGCACTACTTGACTCTTGCTACCTGTATTCTCCATTATTGTTATTACCCAATTTCGATACGCTCCTCAAAGCCTACCATAAAATCCAACTCACAAAACCAAAACCTCTCTAAAATCGCAATAAAACTTTAACTACATTTTTTTTTATTAATATTAGAAACTTTTTGTTTTTATTCATTTATTAATATATTTTTTTATATTTGTTTCCGGTTAAAAATTAGGATTTCCGGATGCGACACAGAGTGAGATGCGTTGAGGAATAAAGAAGGACGGACTTAGGTCGGATTGTAGGAAGGGGGGGAGCCAATGGGAGGCGGGTCCGTCGCGGCGAAGGCGCCCACTGGAAGCGGCGCGCACCGTCGAAACCGCCCCCCCTGAAATCGCTCTGCCCTCGTGTGATGAGCCACACTCACCTACCCAGCGCACTCTATCAAGCGATTGCGAAACTACATCATATTCACACAAAAAACACGGAAAAAAAAAAGTTAAGCAACAAATGCAAAGGTATAAATAAAATGGTAATTTCAAAGATTGTCATGAGTGGAGATGATTGGCACGCGCGTTTAAGCGCTTCTTCCTTCCCATATGATTATCTTTATGTTAACTCTATTGGTTTTAGGTGACGTTTATGGGTAATAAAACCGGGCACCATATTTTACCGCCGCAAAAGTCGTCCCCGGGACCCGAAAGCTTAAAGGCTTTTATTGTGCTTTTACGAGCGCATAATCATTACGGCGATGACTTCATTTGACTTTTAGTGGTGTTTACGGCTTTTTAAACTGTCACGTCAGACGACGGCACGTCATCGTGTTTTACGAGCGATTAATTGTCGATTGTCGGATTTTTTTTTCTCCTTTTCGCTTCAAACATTTTCATCTGTATTACATGTTACAATTTTTTTTTCAGGATGCGTTTCTGCTCGCTGTTGGGTAGCAGGACAGGATTAGGTTACGGTCCGGATGGTTCCTGGGGGCGCTCTCTAACAGCCGGTAGCGGAACCACTTTGCAGCCGTATTCCGAAAAACATTTACAATCAATACAATGGGAGTTTTATGGTCAATAAGGAGTCGGAACGGCTTGTAGAACGAGCCTCGAAGCCGTTTCTACCCGCGATAAGGTTGCTACAAAATACATAATATATATACTGTGTCTGTATATATATACTCAACTCAGATATATACTAGTTTATATATAGAACATTTAAACACTTCATACTCACTTACAGCACCATCAAACCAACACTTTTAATTTAAATTAATATTTATACGCGTACTTGCAATTCCACTAATTACTAACGTTTACTACCATTCATTAATTAAAATAACTCATAGAGACAAAAAGAAATACGAACAACCAATATTTTGAAAATTTATATAATGTAGTTTAAATTATATTACAAAATGATATTGAATTTCACAAACTTTAAATAAATTAGTCATAAGATTAAGACGTCTTTTATCTTAAAAATTAAAGAGTTTTTTTTTTCATTTTCATTTTCAATTGTTTTATTTAACATATAATAGTGATTTAAATTCATTCATTAATAAAATGTGAACAAATTTACAAAGTAAACGTAGATATATAATTAAACTTGGATAGATTATTAAAAATTTATTAAGATATAATAAATTTGTATTGTAACAAATATCTTTTTAATTGTACATTTGCAAAAATTATAATTTCTTTAACAAACAACTAAAATATTATTTAAATATTTTATTTGAGATTTGTGCTACATTTTTTTAACTAATTAGTACACTTAGTCTGAACATTTGGTATTTACTCATTCAGAAATAATCGGTTACAAAAATGTTTTCATTATTATCATTAATTATAGTGTACTTTACACATGTAAATCATGTAAATAAATCATATACAAAAAATATTGCATCTTAATTAATGGTAATTATATAATAATTGCATATTGTTAATTGGGACAAAACGGATTTTTTTAAAAAAAGACAATTGAGTTAATGTTAAATATTTCTTATTACTACTATAACAATAATTTAAAAAACTTGCTTGATTTGGAAATAAGTAACATAATTAAAAATGTATACGTTTTGTAAATAAAAGTGTATTTTACTATAGTATGTATGAAATCTCTTTGGAAACATAGTTTGAAACTGTGAAATTCAACAAATTTTTGTTAATCTTGAATTAATCCGTGTATTGTTCATTATCCTATAAAACTAACAATATTTATTTCAACAACTATACAAATATGTAAATAATTATAAGATAAAAAATGGAACAACAAATATATGAATAATTGCGAAAATACTGTAATGTTTTCCACTTTAATTATTTTTTTTTTAATATAAGATGAATATCAATTAAATCTAACAATTTTATAAATATTCGAAATGTTGTAAAATATTAATTATTTTATTAAATTCATAATAATTACAAAATTTCCATTATATATATTCATTTTTAATACTTCTGTGTGATTGATGCTAAGATGTTTTTGTAAAAATTAGTTAAAAGTTGATTAGAATCATTAATATTTGTTTACTTTTTACTTACTTATTATATTGCAATGCAAACGTTATAACAAAAAATACATTTAATTTCGGACAAAAAAAAGTAAGAAATCAAAATAATTTGTCATTCTCGTCACAACTAAATTCTATTATATAAGATTTATATAAAACGCTATTATATAACAATAATAAGTTCAAGAACTATTCAACGTTAAGTAGGGACAAAATTAGTAAGAAATAAGAAAGAAACACATGAATTATTTCAATCAAATGTTATACTTCCAGTCACAACTAAATTATTATGTTATATAAGAATAATTAACAAAAATTATATTATCTTTCCACCCAAATTATGTTTAAAATTGATTGGAATTATCACTTTTTTCAATTAATTATAAAAAAATCGCAATTAAATAACAATATTAATTTCAAGAACTATTCGACGCTAAGTCAAGTTAAAATAATTAAGAAATAAGAAAAAAACATGAATTATTTGAATGAAATATTGTACTTTAAACCTCAACTAAATTATTATGTTTTATAAGAATAGTAAACAAAAATTGTATTGTCTTTTCCTCAAATTATATAAGATTCATATTATAAATATGCAAAATGTTTATATAAGAAATATGTTTAAAATTGATTGGCATTATGACTTTTTTTTTCAATGAATTATGAAAGAATCGCAATTATATAACAATATTAATTTCAAGAACAATTCGACCCTAAGTGGAGACAAAATAATTAAGAATTAAGAAAAAAACATGAATTAATTGAATGAAATGTTCTACTTCCAGTCACAACTAAATTATTATATTATTTATATGGAACAAACAAATATGCAAAAAATTTATATAAGAAATAGGTTTAAAATTTATTGGAATTATGGCTTTTTTGGAATGATTTATGAAAGAAATACAATAATAATGAATGAAATACAACAATACTTCAAGTACTATTCGAAAACTAAGAAATAAAAAAAATACACAAAAATTATTTGAATGGGATGTACTAAATTATTATATTATATAAGATTTATATGTAATAAACTTCATATCTTTTTGCATTGTATAAATATTAAAAATGTTAATGTAAAACTGTGTTTAAAGTGTTATTAATATAGTATAGTTCAACCCTGGAGTTGTATATACGTATTATCAAACACATATGCAGCAGTCAGTATACACAGGAGCGTGCATTAATTCCATTAGTGGTGTGTTCCACTACTTGAGCCGCAAAAAACTTTGCTACTCATTATGCAAACTATTTTCATGCTGGATGGCCTCTATATGCGCTACATACTTCTTTTTTCTTTCTTTCTCTTTCTCTATTTTTACTTTTCTTGCTGCACTTAAAATGCATTCCGTCTCGAATTCACCAGAGCCACGCACCAAAACAAATGCGTTTTTATTAGTGAATACCATGAAACACAAACATACATACGAATATATATAAAAATGTATACACACACAGATAAATATATATATAAAATTATAATTTTCTCATTCTTATATATATATTTTTTTTCATTTTCCGTTTACTTCTGGGTAATGAAACTTTCAGGAATGTGCAATAGCATATTTGTGGATGTTATCTGCAGCCAAGTAGAATAATATTTTATTACGTT